ATTCCTGGCCTGTCCTAACACTGTATTTGTGTTGTTTAATTCTAGTAGCAAGATCTTTACCTGTCTGGCCTAAGTAAATGCTCTGTTTGTGTTCTATCGGTGAGCCATGATTTTATCCAATTTAAAACTTTCCTCTCAATACCATGAGCCTTAACTTTTCTCAGAAGCCTCTGATGCAGTACTCTGTCAAATGCTTTGCTAATGTCTACCGTAAGTAAATAACATCGTAATTTTGTCATCACCTACTACCTCATAGACTTTCCTAAAATACGTCAGCAGATTTGTTAGACAAGATTTTCCCATGTTGGGAGTCGTAGATTAATTTGTTTTTCTCTAAATGCGATCGGATGCTATTTGCTCTAATTGATTCAAGAAATTTCCCCACTACTGACATCAAACTAATCGGCCGGTAATTTGAGGCTGATGCTCTATCTCCCTTTTTGAATATGGGTACTACATTTGCCTGTCTCCACAAGTCTGGAATTGATGATTCTTACGCTGATGATTCTACTCTTCACTCTTCTTCACATTTTCCCCTTCCTCCTAACTTTCAAATTAGATGTGTTTCTAGAGCTGATATCATTACTGCTATCAATGCGGATCTATGCAGCATCTCTGAATGGGGGGGTACAAACTTGGTTAATCAATAGTAATAAAACTCAATATTTACCAATTACACTTTGTAAATTAGACGATCTCCACCCAACTACATTTCAGGATGCTATCATCTTGCCAAATTCTGAAATAAACATCTTAGGCCTCACCATTTTCTCCAATATCTCCTGGAAATCACACATCCTTAATATAGCTCAAGCTGTGGCGAGATCTCGAAGTTTCGATATTTTGAGTACAGCACTAGCAAATAATTCCCACCAGGAAACTTGTTTCGAGACTCCTCCAAAGCTTCGAAAAGTGCAGAATTCCATGTGTTAAAGGCAATATTGCTAAAAAAAAGACCAGGGCAAGAAGGTCATCGTAAATGGCGTCGTACACCCAACGACTGTTCTTGCAATTGACCACATGTCTTGCCCGTGGTGTCCACTGTTTCTCTGTGGATGTGGGGTCACACGAGAATAACCCGTTATAGTACCTTCTTCTTTCCTCACACAGCCAAACTGTGGAATGCTCTGCCTTCTTCAGTGTTTCCCTACTTATACAATCTGTTTCACTTTAAAAAGCTGGTTTTCCGGCATCTTCGTGGTGTAGATTAACACAGTATAACCTTTTTCTTTTCTATTTTCAATTTCTTTCTGTGTTTTTTTCGCCCCTCAGGTCCCATTGTGGGTCGTTTGATCTGTGTCCGGGTGGGCTAATTCCAGTATAAAAAAACAAAAAAAAACCACACTTTTTAATATACAAAAATGCCCGAGTACTATACTGCATTAAAGAAAAAGTATTGGAATTTTCTGATAAAAAGGGGGTCCGGACCCCCTCCTTGAATCCGCCCCTGCAGTTTGTAGGCTATATTCTCATGTTACATAGTGATTAATGAAAAAATACATTCCTACGCTGACAAACTAATGTAAATTCAAATAATATTTATGTCCACAATGGTCTAATGTACGAGTTGGCAAAAATGAACCCGGAAGTAAATATTGATGAGGAAATTACTTCAACCTAAGCCCCCACTGACGGGGTTCCCACACTACATTATTAAAATTCAAGTTTCAAGGCTATCGATGTTTATTTTCGGGGTCTTAACGCCACTAGAATCCAAGAAAAAAGGTCACAAAAAACCAAAGAAAAAAGTCAGAAAAATATCACAGAAAAAAGTCAAGAGAAAAAACCTAACCTAACATACGTGGAATGCTATCATATATAAATTGTGTTGTCACTGTGTACAAGTCATGTATTCAGTTAATAAAAGTTACTTAAAATATTTTGTTTTGTTACTTTAACTGTTAATGATATTTAAATAAAATGTGACTTTTTTCCTGACTTTCTAGCCAAAATTTTCACTTTTTTGTGACTTTTTTCCTGTAAATTTATTTCCGTTCACCACGCCACTAATCTGGAGAAATTTCATATTACTATGAAAACAAGAGGTTAAGTTTCATAATCTTCCTCAAGCTGAGACCGGTGATTCCTTTATACAAGGGATCTTAACCTTTTCTTGCCCAAGGCGCCTTTCTGAGCCTCATTTACCACTGTGGCCCCCCTCATACTTGAAAAAAAAAATTGACCATCTGCCCGGTGTATTAACCTGAACTGTATCATATATAATTCTAAAGACAAAGTGTCTGTAGTACCTCACAAAAACGATATAAATTCTATAGACCTAATTGTGTACAAAAGACTCTAATAAGAAAGACAGGAAAGCGTCTACCTTTACCGATAAAAAAAACGCGAGCCACTGAGCTTCCACCAACGCCATCTGTTGGCAACGTGGCTAACTAAAAGCCGGGGGAGTGTGAGGGTAGCGTGTCCGTGTTTCCATGGTAACCAGTGAAATGAGCTTATGTTTAACGTTTTCACGTTGTTATATATCATTGATCATATAGAAATTACTGTGATATTGTATGTGTGTGCATGTGTACACATTAAGAACGTCAAGGTTATAATATGATCAATGATATATAACAACGTGAACAGGGGGCAAGCGTTGTATCCACTGGAACGCTATTCTCTTGCCCTTAGGTCGTAAAGGTTTATTACCTATAGGGGGCAACTACGAATGCATTTATTACCTACTAGCTTGGGAACCCGGCGTTGCGTAATAGCTAATAGCTTGCGGCCGTGACCACACTCCCGGATATTAGCTTCACTGAACTACACAATATCCACTATTTATCATCCACGAGTACACTAATTTAACTTCACTGCATCCTTTTCACTATTTACACTACAGCAATTGCACTGTTGTCTACATTATCATCTACACTACATCAACACTACTATCAGTAGTCTATCACTTCTAGATGGAGGGTCAGGGCCGACCCCAAAATCTCAGATTTGGGACACTTATGGGGGGGCAAATAAAGAGATGGAGGAAAGAGGGAAAAGGGAGTGAGTAGGATGGAGAGAAGCAGTGGGAGAAACAGGGCCGGATTCAGGAGTGGGCAAAGTGGGCAGCTGCCCAGGGGCCTCCACATGTGCGGTAGTAGCTATATCAGGGCTGGTCGACTTGAAACCACATGAATGACTCCAGTCATGTCTCACTTTTGTGTGTGTGTTGGGAATTTGTACACTATCAATAAACATAGTTAATGAAAAAATTCTCAATCTTGATTTTCCTCAATATAACTGCATATGGCTTCAAAATTCTCCAAAGAAGTGTTCAAATTTCAATTTTTCCCGGGAGGCTTACAGCGCCCCCCGGAACTCCCAGATGCTTAGGCTCGCTTCACTCGCCACCCCACCCTCTTGGGTAGTTATGAGGGGGGGCCTCCACAAAGAGGCTGCCCATGGGCCTCCACAGGTCTAAATCCGGCACTGGGGAGAAGGGTAAGGTATGGAGCGGAGAAGGGATAGGGAGAGGTGGGTAGTAAGGAAGCAAGAGGGAGTGGTGAGGTTGCAACTGACTTATTGAGCGTTTCCTCATTATTTCTAGCGGGGTATGTGGCAACCCTTCACCTAGAGCTTTGAGTTGATGTGTGACACCCAGTATTTTTTTAAACAGGTTTCTGTTATCATAACTTGTGTATTGTGTTAATCGTATTATTGTTGTCGTTATTCAAAGTTGCATTGTGTCAACTAACATTTCATCTCCACACCCGCGTGCATGTACTTACATATTTACATACATATGCACTAACATGCAGAAACAATAATACAGACAATAGGAAGCACCGAGGAAGTAGCCAACTTTCACCTTGTGTCGTGGTCGCCCGGTATGTAAGGTTTACATTTGTTTGAATAAACCTTATATTTCAATCATATTTTTTTGGGTTTACCTCCTCTCCGATTTTACGATCAATCCTTGTGTATGGGCGAGTACAGTATGTTAATTTATCCTACTATTAACTTGTGTTACAGTGTACACTACAGTGGTGGCTTCTATCCAGTGTGCCTCTCCCTCTCACCTGGCGACCTTTCCATCCTCACTACCGTTATACAGTATCTAACAACAAGACTATTTTAGCTTCAACACAGGTGTTCTTTCAAAACACTATCGTTGCCTGTGCTAGAGATTTATGATGCATAAATAAGCCATATTAAATTATTTCCATCGTATCTTGATAAGTGTCAATAAGCCGACCAAGAGACAACAAATTCCTAACTCACCCAGTGCCCTGGTGGGCTAATCCCGTAATAAAAAAAAATAATAAGCAAGCCCGCAGAGGATACACACACTTCTGATGCGGACATTCAAGCCTAGTTAGGTGACGTTGAGCCAGGCGAGGGAAAGATTCAGACCGAAACTTTATTGGTTCATAAGTTCTACATCCCTGTAATTTCTCACAGCCCCCACCCCCAAGCACCAGAAAACTGTTTGAGCAGGAAAGTGACAGTAAGTGTAACCCATAGTCAATATTAGTGTCCCACAGCTCTTCAATTACGCAACATCACAGATTACCTTAAGTCAGCTGAACAATTTACACACACTACCTGAATGGCATTAATACTTGGGAATATATTTGACAAGGTCAATATGCGTCTTTACAATCACACACAACACACGTAAAAGTCTTTTCATCTATGTAGTGTATATTATACAGTCAGTCAAAAAACAGGTATTAGTGAATCTGGACCACGGCGACTGTACAGTATTCGCACTTTAACACTGTCCATGCTACACTTTTCAAGCATTTTTTTCTTAGACAATTATAAAATATTCTATGCTTCGTTGACAAGAACACCAAGGTAATAATGGTTTCTTTGTAATGCAAGGGAACATAAGTTCTTTGTACTATACTATAAATATGCTAATTTTCATTATCACCCAATATCACAAAGGCAGTGATCGTAATCGCAAGTTAGGCATGGAGACTTCAATTTATGTGGCTGATCAAATTCACGTATCGATATAAATTATAGACTATGCAGCATCTGATACTGACACAGGTGAAATCAGAGACGTCACAACACTTCAGCAGCAGCTGCCACTGTTAGCTTGGCAGCGACGTTGTATACACCCGGGGAAAAGGTGTCGTACAGTGTGGGTTGCCCGTTCAGGTAAAAAGTTGTTCCTGAACGAGTTTCTTGATCAAAATGAACGCCTTCTTTCGAGCTATATATGTTTACAGTTTGAGCACTAGGTTAATAGGTTTTCCAACTTCTCGTTCATTATTCGTCCGTCCGTGAGGTGCATTGCTCGTTCAACATTTATTTGTCAATACTATATATACTACTGGCAGAGCTGTAAAAAGTACTGAACTTTGTTACTTAAGTAAAAGTATTGTTACATGGCAAAATGTTACGGATCATATGAAGATCCTCCCCCCCAAGTAGGTTTGGGGGGGAGGATCTTCATATGATCTAGCCTGGATGGGAGGATCTGATCTGACCAATGACCAAACCTGACCTGACGTCACTATGACCACCTAACCTACACCAATATTTAGTGTAACAAGAAAGTAATCTGAATAATGTTTTATTATTTAATCCTTATGTTGTTTATTTATATTATATGTTGGGGGGGATCTTCATATGAGCGCGACTGGGGGGGAGGATCTTCATATGAGCGCGACTGGGGGGAGGATCTTCAGTTGGATACTTGGGGAAGATCTTCATATGATCCAATGTTACTAAAGAACATAACATAAGAATATAAGAATGGAGAAAACTGCAGCGGGCCTATTGGCCCATAGGGCCGTCCCGTTTACAACTAACACCTATCGCTCATATATCCATCCAACCTATGTTTTAAGCTACCCAGTGTATTCGAGTTAATGATGATGTTTGGTAACTTGTTCCACTCATCCACTACTCTATTTCCAAACCAATGTTTACCTATCGCGCCTAAATATAAATGTGTCTAATTTAAAACCATTGCTACGAGTTCACTCCTGGTTGGATAGTTTGGGTACCTTTGTTATATCACATTTGTTTAGCCCTGATTTCCATTTATACACCTCAATCATATCGCCCCTAACTCTACGTCCATCGAAGGAGTGCAAATTAAGATGCTTTAACCTGTCTGTCTCTGCACTCAAGGTTCCTAATGCCCGGGATTAGTCTTGTCATTCTCTGAATTCTTTCTAGTGATTCTATCTCCATTCTTTAGTACGGTGACCAGAACTGAACTGCGCTATCGAAGTGAGGTATTGTAGTGGATAATCCACTACAGTATCACAAGCTATTGTTATGCCGAGGTATACTTTCGTATTATAATCTTGTAAACTAGGGGTTTTATTTGTTTTATGTCCTATGCAGCAGTTGTTGTGGCAAATTTAGTGAAATTTTCGTGTATATATTGATGTATTAATTATATAAGAATATTCTAGAATGTATTGCAGCATTTTCTTCTAATTTACTTCTTATTGGAAGCCTAGATTATTCTAGAATTCCCCAGGCTGGTCTGGAGCCGACCTCCCGCGTGTGGACATCGCTAGAATATTCAATGCTAGGCGTCTGAGGAACCGTATATACTGTACAGTAAGCTGGCGCGGGCTGCCTAGGGGCAGTAAGTTGCTCATCTCAGTTCCTAGTGTAAAGACTAAGCCTAGCAGAATAACTGAAGACAATTGTTGTGCAAGTATTATGGAACTGCTGTGATTAATATAAAGTGAGAAGAATAAGGAATTGTAAACTGGCAGTGTGATAACTATATATTCAAAGTGTGGAGTCAAGCTGTGAAGCCATTGTGGGGTTCGAGATGTTGGTTCACACTCAGGATAGGATGGAGAAAGGAAACTCACAAAGTGCTCTCTGTATACATATTGCATTGGATGTACAATGCAGCTTGGTGCTGGGGGGTAGCAGCGTGAGTCCAAGCGTGATGTAGAGAACTGGTTGGTGAGGGTGCTCAGAGGAGGACCAGCTTGTGGGTCGCCATGCTCGCCGGCGGGAGGGAGGGCCGCCAGGCAGGAGGAGGTGTTGCTTGCTGGTTGGTGTATGTAGAAAAGAGGTAGGTCACCACGAGGTCAGGTCTTATATAGCGGAGGTAGGCGTGGCTTAATAGTTGACCTCCGTCATGTAAGGCGGCGCTGGTTGACCTAGACCACGAGGCATACACTGGGGAATTCGCGGGGTCGGCTACTCAGCGACAAACAGCGTTTGTAGTGGAGGAATCCACTACAATACTCCTCCTTCCCTCCAGGCGGTGTAGGAGACTTGTTGTCTGCAGGGTTGCATGGCACATGTGAGGCAGAACGGGCGGTGCATGCCACATGTGAGACATAACGGCGAGGGCGTGGATGAGCTGGCCGCTAGTGGAGACAACTTTGTCTAGATACACGAGATCTGTGGGAGGAGAGAGGGAGAAGGAGTGTTGTGGAGGCGATAAATGTTGTGCTTCACTCGCGACAGGTACAGAGTCCTCAGATGCGCCTGCTGGGGTGTGTGGGCCTGGGTCAGGAGCAGGGGCTGCGTCAGCAGGAAGAGGGTCCATGACAACAGCAGGGTCCATGACAGCAGCAAGGTGCAGGACAGTAGCAGGGGGTACCTGAGGGAAAAAAAAAGGGTGCGTGGGGCCGCACTCAGGCGCATGGGCCGAGTCGGGAGCAGGGGCTGCCAGGCAGGAGCTGAGGAGGGTCCGCGTCAGGAGGACGGTCCAGGACAGTGGCAGGGGTACTGCTGGGCCGGGGGCGGCGTCTGAGGCAGGACGGGTGTGCTGGGGTCGGTAGGACGTGGTGCTTGGAGCAGGAAGAGGAGCGGCTGTCTGCTTAGAGTAGCAGTGCTGCTCTAGGGTGTCTAACCTGCGGTGTAGAGACAGTAGCTGTAGAGCCGATGAGAGCTGCCTCTGTGTGGATAAGCCAGTCTTCCATGTTGCTTGAAGACTGGGAGAGTGATCGGTTTCTCCTCCATCCTGTGTGAGTGCGAATCTCTGGGGGTCACTCATTTGTGGGGTACGAGATGTTTCTCCTCCATCCTGTGTGAGTGCGAATCTCCGGAGGTCACCATTTGTGGGGTTTGTTATGTTGGTTCACACTCAGGATGGGATGGAGAAAGGAAACTCACAATGTGCTCTCTGTATACATATTGTATTGGATGTACAATGCAGCTTAGTGCTGGGGGGTAGCAACGTGAGTCCAAGCGTGATGTAGAGAGAGCTGGTTGGTGAGGGTGCTCAGAGGAGGACCAGCTTGTGGGTCGCCATGCTCGCCGGCGGGAGGGAGGGCCGCCAGGCAGGAGGAGGAGGTGTTGCTTGCTGGTTGGTGTATGTACATAAGAACATAAGAAAATAAGGAGTCTGCAATAGGCCGGTTGGCCTGTGCATGGCAGCTCCTGTCGAGAGTTACTACCACTCTCTATCATCCATGAATCTATCTAGCCTCCTTTTGAAACTTTCCAGAGTTCCCGCACTTACTACAAAGTTGCTAAGCTTGTTCCACTCGTCCACCACCCTATTTGTGAACCAGTTTCTTCCTATCTCCCTCCTAAACCTAAACTTATCCAACTTAAATCCGGTCACCACGAGGTCAGGTTTTATATAGTGGAGGTAGGCGTGGCTTAATAGTTGACCTCCGTCATGTAAGGCGGCGCTGGTTGACCTAGACCACGAGGCGAACACTGGGGAATTCGCGGGGTTGGCTACTCAGCGACAAACAGCGTTTGTAGGGGAGGAATCTACTACACCATTACCCTGTTACAGTTTTGTGAAGAATTACTGTTTATTAAAGAAGACTACAGTGCACAAGTGTGTTTGTGTGACCTGGTGGAAATCTACCTGCCTGTTGTTTGTCTGTATACTGATACTGATCGTTGGGGAATTACCAGAGACTGGCGGGACAGCCAGTGGTAATTCGACAACTCTTGTGAGATATCTACTGTTCTGTACATACGACCCTAGCCGCTGGTAACCAGTGTTGGAAACTGGGTAAGCGGTGAAAGGAGGATTGGCCGTAACAATATAATTTTAGAATAATCTCGCTAGTCTTGTAACTAACACTTATGCATGAACCCGAATACTTTGTTAGCCTTGTTTCGAGGAAATACACATTGTTGACTTGATTTAAAGTTCGTACTCTTTCAGGGGGTATTGGGAGGCGCTAGGGAAGGTTAGAGACAGGGGAGGGATCCTGATAGTAGGTGGTGTCTTGCCTAGAAGAGGAGTTGGTGGTGAATGGCTGTCCAGGGCAATTGCTATAAATTGTGGACTGGAAAAACACTGTGCAGGCAATGGTTAGGCATTCATTGATAACTGGCAACGATTCTATGGCAACGAATACTCTACCTGTACAGTCGTGACAGGGCCCGTCCTTTGGGGGGCGAACAGAACGACCGCCGGGGCCCGCGCGTGTGGGGGGCCCCGCGGGGCCCAACACTGGACCCAGTGACCTCGGACACTGGGGTAATTTAATCCCCAGGTAAGAAGGGTTGGTTCAGGCCAAGGTTGGGTCAGAAGATTATCCCCAGTTGACAGACGGCTTGGGTCAGTCAGCCTCCACGTGTATATACTGTGTAATATTCTGTCTCTGTCATTACCAATTGAGAAGGGCTCGTGATGGGCCGAAACTGTATTGGTGTTTAAGATAAACTGTATGTCTCCATGAAGTGTGGTATATATAATCAACACCTCAACCCGCCAGGATTCGAACCCACACCCCAATAGCCCATGACTGTGACCGGGGAACGCTAACCGCTGGACCACCAGGATACTAAAAGCAGTCCTAGACTTTGTTATATTTCACACAGAGCCTGTTCAACGAGCTTATGGCGCCGTGAACCTCTATGTGATACGAGTAGTCCCCATTTGAGGTTCACGGCGCCATAAGCTCGTTGAACACACCACGTGAGGCCCCTCATAACACCATCTGTGAGGGAATTACTACACCACATGAGGCCCCTCATAACACCATCTGTGAGGGAATTACTACACAACGTGAGGTCCCTCATAACACCATCTGTGAGGGAACTACTACACCACGTGAGGCCCCTCATAACACCATCTGTGAGGGAACTACTACACCACGTGAGGCCCCTCATAACACCATCTGTGAGGGAATTACTACACCACGTGAGGCCCCTC